ATTTCCACTTTATTATCACTTTCTGGCCCACGTGTGATAATGTCCTAAATGTGTTTTGGGTTTTATCTGAAGTTTTACCTATAATGCAAGGTAAGGAAAATATTACAGGAATACATTATTAAAGGTCTACAGAGAGAGAGAGAAACTCAAGGAGAGAGAAATGGAAACAGAGAGATGTTACTACTCAGAGTGATATCTGATCAAACTGTTCATTCTTAATAACATAAGTTCTGACCATCTTTATAAGACTAGAAGGTGACATAATGAGTTTGTAGGCTGACCAAAAATATTTTACCTCATTGAAATGAAATACACCAATGCACTTTAAGGCATTCCTACTTCTTTGGAAAAAAGGTGTGGGGGGGTGGAAGGGTGGAAAAAAGACAAGTAGCTAACAAAAGCTGAGTCAATGTAGATTCAGTGTAAAGTTCTCATGTAATACTAAATATGAATCAATATTTGGATTTCATATGTCTAATTTTGTCTGGAAGCATTGATGGTTGAGAGGAATATGGCAAGCTAGATTTCCATTTTCTTTCAAAGGTGACTCATTTGTTCACTATAAGATATATCATAATGCATTCTTGGCCATCACTTGTAATCAGGGAAATTCCTTCACAGTTCTCAAAATGCAGATGCTTGGATTCTAATAGTGTTCAGTTTTATTTGGTATATATTGTGTTATTGTTGTTTGGCTTCAAGTCATTTCTGACCTATAGTGACCCTAAGGCAAACCTGTCATGGAGTTTTCTTGGCAAGATTTGTTCAGAGGAGATTTGCTCTTGCCTTCCTCTCAGGTTGAGAGAGTGTGATTTTCCCATGGTCACCCAGTGGAGTTTCATGGCCATGCAGGGTTTGAACCCTGGTCTCTGGAGTCCTAGTCCAATGCTCAAACCACTGCTCCACACTGGCTCCCACTTTGGTATACACAGAGAGCACTAAATACTGTTTCTAAAAGAAGAACGCACCTTACCATATAAAGATTACAGATAATTTCAAATGAATATTTCTGCATCTGATATGGTGACATTTCCCATTTCTGTGAATTAATAAATGCTTGACAATTTTTTTCTGGAAGGGAAGCTATGCTTATGAAATCAATCATGTTTTGGATCCCTTGGCATGGGAAGTGGAGAAATGTGAACCACACTTGCACAGTGACTATATGTTTCTAGGAGAGATTAAAAGTAGAGACTTATACTTAAGGATTCTGAGGTAGGTTCTTTATTTCTCCTGTCTGCTCTGTTGCTTTCTATCCTGTAGACTGATACCTTCAGGTTTGACTTGTAAAAGTGCAAGTAAGAGTCAGTAGGTACTTTCTTAATTTACTCTCATAAAGGGCAAGGGGAAAAAACTCTTCCAGGTTTTATACACAGCCTCCTACTGTGTGGCTAGTTCATGAACTTTGTCTGAGCAATGCAATCAAAATATTGCTTTCTGAAAAAGTATACAGTGTACGGATTTTACAGCTTATGAGAAAGATGAAAAGACAAAGCAGGTATTCTCTCATTATTTCCTCAAACAGCTCTTTCAGCTGTCGTTAACTAATTGAAGAGGTCAAGGAAGAGTGATATTTCCAGAAATAGTGATTAATCACCTACTGGCTAAAAATATCAAATCAAGGTCCTTGGTTATCACAGACTTTTACACTGTATCATGATGAAAATGCACAGATGAGAAAAGAAAGAGGGATTAAATCAAGCAGTTTCAGGCAATCTTAATTCCTAACTTCCAGAGACTTTGTGTTGGCTACCATTGTTTTAGTGTGATAGAATTCAAAAATATAGCTGTGTTAGTCTGGAAAATCAGTATACAAAGGGATCTTGCAGCACCTTTGAGACTAGCTGAAAGGAAGAAGTTGGCAGCATGAGCTTTTGTAGACTGGAACCTACTTCCTCAGAAAATTTGCATCTGAGGAAGTTGGCTCCAGTCTACGAAAAGCTCATGCTACCAACTTCTATCTTTCACTTAGTTTCAAAGGTGCTGCAAGATCCCTTTGCATAGTGTTTTAGTGTGGGTGTTACATAAATCATGTATCACAATGACAAGTCTGTGCTTACATCAATTTGATATCGTGAAATCCAATGTGATGATGAATCAATAAAAAAAATCCAAAAATTGACTGAATGTGCATTTCACAATATAGTATTTCAAATGCTGTTTTAGTGACAAGCAAATCTCTGAATCATAGGCATTCACAGATGGTTTGGTTATTATTTTGGATGAGCTTAACCATCAATTGGGAAAACTTTTTAATGTAATAGAGGAATTTGGTAAGATCTCTTGTTTTATGATCAATAGGAAAATGACACAAATTATAACTAAAAATTTAACTAAAGAAGAAGACCAAAGGATAGAAATTGGTTCAAATTGTAAAATACAAGACAAAGTTAAACACCTTGGAATTTGGATAATGAAGAAGAATATGGATCTTTTTGACAATAACTATAAAGTGTTATGGAAAGACATTAAAAGGACCTGGAAAAGTTGCAAAAATTATAACTAACTGTATCAGTAAGATAGAAGCAATAAAAATGATAATCTTGCAAAAAATAAACTTTCTATTTCAAAACATTCCTATATTAATTAGTGACAAAGCAATTCAAGAATGGCAAACAGATCTAAGGAAATTTATTTGAAATAATAAGAAACCAAGAATAAATTAGAAAACTATGACAGGACAAAAAGAAGGAAGAGGAGGATGTGTCCCTGATTTAAAATTATATTATCAAGCAAGAGTACTAAATTGGATTGCCAATTGGATTGTACTAGATAACACTAGATTACTGAATTTGGACAGATTTAACAATCATTTTGATTGGCATGCATATATTTGGTATGGGAAAGCATCTGTCCACAGTGAATTTAGGCATAACATTGTTAAAAAAGCTTTATTAAGAGTCTGGGAGAATTTTAAGAAGAACACTTACAGAAGAAAACCTCTTTGGGTGTCACCACATGAAGCATTCATTGGAAGATGGAACAAGATTGATAGATGGCTTCCATATAAAGATATATTGAATAAAGTCCATCCAAATAAGTTTGAAATGAGAAAAATAAATGAATTGCATCAGCTTGATCCCGAAATGCATTGGTTCTTATATTTACAACTAAAAGAAAGATTCCTGATGGATCAAAAAGTAGAAGAATTTGAATATGAAACTTTAGAAATAGATAAAGTTTTGTTTGATCAAAGGAAAAGAACATCAAATTTATATAAATATTTAAGAAAAAAAGAACAAGAAGATGATTTGATATCAGATGAGATGATAAAATGGGCATCAGATTGTGACTGGGTCATTGGATTAAAGAGCAGGAGTTGCACCAGAAATAAAACAAAAACAAAAAAATTACAAGAGCACAGGATTTGAGGGAGAATCATTTCAAAATGGAGCATAGGTGGTACTTGACACCAAGTAAGATTGCAAAGATACGGTATATAAGACGAATTCTAACTAATGTTGGAAATGCCAAGAAAAGGGAGGTACATGGACCCATATCTGGTGGCGATGCCCAAAACTAAAGGTCTTTTGGGAAAAGATTCACATAATGACTGAAAAGATATTCAAAATAAATTATGAACTGAGACCAGAAATTTATTTACTCAATACGTTAAATAAGATCCCATTTCATGTAGAAAGGAAACACTGGAGAAAATAATGAACTTCCTGCATTAGATAATTGGCTGCTAAAATTATCAGAAATGATGGAAATTGATATTTTGATAGCTTGTCTGAATCAGAAGGATATGAACATAATTGAGAAAGAATGGCTTCCGATAAACAAATTTTGTAAGAACAGATGGAATTAAACTATAGGTAGAGTAATGGGATGACAGGGAAATAAGATGAACTGGGAGGGGGAAGAAAATTCTCTTCCATCACATGAGTATAAAATTTTGTGACTACTGTAGATATATTGATATATATCATAAAAGAACAATAAATTCAAATAGATAGGTTGAGAAGAAAGGATGACCCCGCAAGAGACATTGAGGAAGTAGTGTTTTAGGGATAGTATTTTTTGTTGTTAAGCAAATTATAATGTACATTACTGGAAAGATATGCATATCTTTGAAGAAAAAATAAAGTATAAAAAATAAATAAAATCTCTGAATCTGTATGCTATACAGTGATCATCTTTATTTATTTATTTATTTAGACCTAAAATGGCATTTCTACAGTAAATCTCAACTTTATAAGGCAAATAATTCTGATCTTCTTGGGCTCTAAGGGGGGTTGCAGACTACCAAATAGTGCAAATTGAGTCCACTTTTAGGGTTAGGGTTAGGGTTAGGGAATCATGGGAATTGTGTTTTTTTTTCTTTCCTGGAGACATTAAGCCTTCTCTGTCAGAGAGCTCTGGTGCCACAATAAACTACAGTTCCCATGATTCCCTAACCCTAACCCTAAAAGTGGGCTCAATTTGCACTATTTCTGGCAGTCTGCAACCCCCCTTAGTATCTTTTGGCTTGATTGACATGGTCAATTGGACTCGCTCTGTAAGATGAAAGCAGGAGACTCTATGTTAACAGTGGTTCTGCTTCAGCTTGTAGAACTATTTACAGAGAGTAGCACTGGGGGAAAATATGTTCAGATCTACACCTTCATACTATGGGGAACCACCAAGTTGTAGACTATCCCCACATTGTTTACTATCTGTATGAAAACTTTGGGGAGGTCATCAGGGATTTTAGAGTTAAATTAATATGGGCAGCTACCTCTACTTTTCATTGCCATCATAAACTGGTGAAACCATGGAGGTGCTGAGCCAATGTCTGAATTTTGTAATGGGTTGGATAAGAGCCACTAAACTGAAACTGAAGTCTAACAAGATGTGATTCTGTGGATTGATGGTTCTCAGATGTGGAAAACTGAGCAAGTGACCTGCCTTAGAGGAGGAGCTGATGTGTCGCTTGGAAGTCCTCTATAACCATCTTTGTCACTGAAGAGCCAAGTGGCTTGGAAGGCTAACTCAGGCCTTCTCTGGACAGAGATAAACTGGTTACAGTAATTCATGCCCAGGAACTTCCCAGTTTGGCTATTGCAGTGCACTCTATGTGGAGTTGACTCTGAAATCAACTAGAGTAATACACAGCAACTACATTCCTGCCTAAACACTTTATGGGACCACATGTCACCATTTCTAAAGGAATTGCATTGGCTATCAGTACATTTCTGGTCTAGATTCAAGGTACTGGCAAGAACATTCAGAACCTTACATGCCTGTGATATTTGAAGGATTACCTCTCTCTTTATACCCTTGCCAGAACATTGACATTTGCTAGTGGGGGGTCACCCTTTCTATCTCACGAGTGGGAACAATACGCAATCTGGAGCAATGAGAGAAGGCTTTTTCTGTTGACACACTGGTTGTGGAATGCCTTACAGGCTTTCATTTCAGCACCAGATTAAACTGTGGCTCTTAGTTAAAGCTTTCAGGACCTAGAGATCATGCCTTGAGCAGATTGTGAAGTTCCAGACACAACATTCTACATTGCTTTGCATTGTTTCAAATCTTTTTTGTTGTATTTCACTTTTTAACTAATTTTAAATTATTATATGGTTTTGTACTGTTTAATTTTGTTGTTATCTTGAGATGTACCTTGAGATCTTTTGATATAGGCTGGGATATACATAGTTCAATTAATAAATAAACTCTGTACTTTTCATTCCTAAATCTTCTTTATCCAGTAAAAATGGAAGATATGAAGTATACCTGATTGATGCAGTTTCATATATATATATATTTTTTTAAAAAACCACCATTGTCTATATGAAACTAAATATTCTAATACTCATATTTATGGTTGTTATAAAACAGGGGGATGGAAATGGCAGTCCCCAGATCCAACTTTGTTGGTTCCAGAAGCCCTCTAAAACCTTTAAATCATTTTTTTTCAAAATGGCCACCCAGTTGCCCACTTCAGCAATAAAACATCCACTACTATTAATATAAGTGCAACATAAATTGAAAATACCTCTCATATGACAGCACTCTTGTGATATTAAAAAAGTGCAAAAGATTGGACCACCTTTATTAGAATGTAGATGCCTAAAACCTAAAACAGCCCAAAAAGTGTTTTGCAGGCATACCTCAGTTAACAAACCCCCTGATAAAGAAGCTCCTTTTTATAAAGTTTTCTTATATCCACCCAACCACCCTTTTCTTCCTTGCTCTTTCTCTAGCTGGAGGTTTTTTTTAAAGAAATATCTTAAAGAAAGATCAGCACTGGATGGATAGTGGAAGAGGGTTACAGAAACACAGACTTTGGATACCTACTTACAACAGCCAAGGTAAACAGTAGCTGCCCCCAGAATCCTTTACTGAGTGTGAATAGCAAAACAGAGAGAAAAGGGTAGGGAAGCCCATTTCACCAGCTAACCCCAGCATGTTAAAAAGCACACATCTGGTTACCAACATGGAAATCATAAGAGTGGGGACTGGGAAAAGAAAAAGTTGTTCCTGGATGAATTATGGAAGAAGCCTCCAAGTGATCTCCAGAAGGTTCAAAATGTTTTCATTTACCTATGCCAGGTTTACATGACCTGGTTTGCTAAATTTGGATAAAAAGTTTGCTAAAACATGTTGAACTGCTCTTCTGTTTTGTGGTATAGAAACCTGTTCCTATTCTTTCCCCGCTATTTCTGCCTCTGGTACCAAATGTTTTGTTAAAGAAGTAATGTCCAGGAACACATCTATTTTGTTAATGAGGTATGCCTGTATTTGTATATCCATTTGTGAAATTAGCTTTGGACAATTTGGTAAGAGTTTTTACTATGGTTAGAGGGATGCTATTAGGCAAAAGTGAAGAAACATAATAAATCAGAATGAGCAGTTTTGTTAAATAAATGAAGCTAACTTATTAAAATAGAAGAGATTAATTGAAAATACAGAATATACTGAAACATAGAGATTATATTTCATTGGTTGGTTGGTTCAGCAGTTTACAGAATAATTTGCAACATCTTGAATCAGGTTATGATATACAGTACATATTTTTCTCTGGCCTATCGGGGAAAGGTTGCTTTGGAAGTATTTGTTGACATTTGCAGCGCTTTCTAAAAATGATGCAAATATCTAAAACGTTGCTTTTATGGGGAAAATGAAGCTTCAGGCATGTAGGACCTTTCTTACTTAGAAGACTGCAGAAGGCAGGAACTCACAAAGCTTTATTTAACTTTAATTGTCTATCACATATCAGCTTTTGTGACATGATTCACCTTTTCTTTCCATAAAAATGTAGCTACTGCTACAACATTCCTCTAACCCCAAACAATAAAGTGCATTCTATGGAAGTTAAATATTTTCTGAGTCAACATAATCACAGCATCCCATTTTTGACCTGAATGTTCATTTACAGTTTACTTACAACAGCTTCAGATAGATGTTTGTACAATGATTTATCAGCAGCAAAATATACTAAGTATACTAAATAAATTGGAAAGGCTAGCTTAGGGGTTACTGTAGTACAATATGACTTGTTGCAGAATATTTCAAAGAAAACAATAATGTTTTGATGGTAAGCTTAAAAGGTATAAACAACCAGCCCAGTAGAAACAATATACGATCAATGACACAAACAATTTCAGTCTCAGAGTTTTAGCCTGTGTCGAAAGTGGAAAAGCATATTTAACTAACAATTTAACATATATAATTGTTAGATTGCAAACTGTTAGATTATCCCATTTTAAAAACAGTGTTAGCCACTCAAATAACTGCTTGAGATTCTCATCAAGTAAGGTTTACTTTTATGTTATGAAAGAGACAAGGGTCATGGTCAATTATAGTTTGCTTACAGATAACAATAAATCTGTTCTGTGGTTGTTCTGAATTGCTGCTAAATTGACTTCAGCTTATGGCAACTCTATGAAGGAGAGACCTCCAAGAATGATTCTAGCTTTGATTATTTTATCATATGTCTTTAGGATTGTTTCTAGTTTCTCCATGGCTGCTTTTTCAAATCTTAATCATCTTCTGTTCTGTTGACTACAGATCCATTTGATTCATGACTGAGACAAAGTATAGGAAATCTTTATTTCATTGTCTCCATAACATTAAAGTTATATAAATCATCTGTGGTCATTATTTTTGTCTTTTAATATTCATTTGCATGGTTTCACACTTTCTTCTTTCGCTTTTCTCAATTCCATGTCTTTGATATTTTCTGCAAGTAATATGGTGTCATCTGCATATCTTAAATTGTTGATGTTCCTCCGTTATTTTAAAATCATCATATCATCTATCTATCTATCTATCTATCTATCTATCTATCTATCTATCTATCTATCTATCTATCTATCTATCTATCTAGCACCATCATTGTATACAGCACTTTACAATAAAAGAACAACAAAACTGTTCCCTGCCCTCAGGCATACAATCTAATTGAAACATGACACAAAAGGAAAAGGGGATGACAATGTGGGAGGGGATTAAATCCAGCAAATACTGTGTCTTCTCTTCCTCCCAGGCCACAGCAGTGGCAGTTGGGATGGGGGGGGGATGGCCTTTTTCACACCACCTTCCTCTTAATTTAATCCTATTTACCATATGATATGTTCAGCATATAAATTAAACAGATAGGGGGATAAAATGCAACCTTGTATGGCTAGAATGGCATAGTTGTTTGAGAATTAGACTATGACTCTGGAGATCAGGGTTCAATTCCCAGTTCAGCCATAAAATCCACTAGGCAATCTTGGACAAGGCACACACTCTCAGCCTCAGGGGAAGGCAATAGCAAGCCTCCTCTGAATAAATCTTGCCAAGAAAACCCCATGTCTTAGGATCACCATAGGCTGAAAAAGACTTGAAGGCACACAACAAAACCAGTGGCTCCATTGCCACTTTCTTCATATTTTGTCCTGACAGTGGCCTCTTGTCCAGAGAATAGGTTGTACATCAAGGCAATCAGATGTTATAACATGCCAATTTATTTTAAATTCCATGGCTATTTCATGTGGAATCCTGAGGTTTGTAGTTCAGCGAGGCACTAGAACTCTCTGACTGAATATTCTAAATATCCTGCCCTAAAATGCATGTCCAGGGATACAATAGGAAGTCACTGTGGTGGTTAAAGTGGAATTGTAATTGTGTGCTATAATTGTGTGCTATGAAAAAACCAAACCAGGGCTTAGCAAGTTCAGTCTAGAGGCCAATTCTTTCTTCCTGGGAAATTTAAGTTCTGGTTTTGTAAAACCTTGTTTTTAAGCAAATCAAAGGGTAGATGGGCCACATACCTTGTTCAAAGTAGTGTCATGTTTCCTGAAGACTTCTGGAAATTCTATTCTTTTATGATCTCCCGACCTTCTGCCTCCTCATCAAGGATGCAAAATTGAGCCAGATTACCAAAATCTGATCCATGCGCCTTGTGTTGCCCGCCTCTAAGGACCTTATCACACGGGGTTAAAAGCAGTCACAATCCACACTCAACCCCGTCCTATTGTGCTTTATTTGTCTGTGTGTTCACACGATGTCGCACACAACCCCGTACCAATGGGGAATCATCCCCATTCTTTTGTCTTTCGGTTTTACCAGGAATTGCATTCGTGCGATCGGAATAATTGCGCAATAATTCCACTTTCGCCGTACGTCTGATCGCCAAATATGTATCCTGGAGCATTTCCCCGTCATGACCCATGGTTCCTAGCGTGATTCTGGATGGGATCTTCTCACTTGTGTGTGAACGGCAAATACATATCCAGGATGCGCTTCCATCGCTATATTGATAATTGCGCAATGACTCCAGTTGCGTCTGATCGCCATTTCTGTATTGTGAGGTCTATTCCGCTATAGTTCTGGATTGATTCTTATTTCACTTTTCTGCCACTTTGAGACCCACGTGTGATAAGGTCCTTGTTTGAATAATGATGAAGTGAAAAGCAGCAGAGAGAGAATTAAGGGCTTGTCACTTTGACAAGATACTCTTTGAGTTTCTGCTGTCAGAATAAGAAGTGAAATTGACAAGACTCAAGTCATTTGCCCTAAGTAGTAGCTTCTCCAACATTCTGTGAGGATGCTAGGAAAAGCCTAGTCACCACATTAAAGTTATTATAAAACAAAAGTAAGAGGGAAATGATAATGATGTGTTGCAAATAGAGTTTTGAAAAAATATTTTTGACTTGCTCTCATATGACACCCTAGGCAGCACAGCTGGCTGTGGTATTTTGGGAGTTGTGGTCCAGAAAATTAACTTGTGGCAGCTCTGATACTGACCACTAAAAGAACACCTCGCCTATTCCTAGCTATAAGCTACAACAATATTAAAGTCAGCCCTTCGTATCCACGGAATTTTTATTCCCAAGCGTCCTTGCCAACCCGCTCCTAACCGGAGATCATGGTTTAC